AGCCTCCCAAGACTCCATTCCCCACGGGGGGAGCAGGGGGAGGCTCAGAGAGGGCCAGGGAGACCCAGGGTCTCCCAGCTCCGGCCCTGTCCAATGCAGTGGGCTCTTCCCAGTGTGGGGCCCGCCAGGCTTCCCAGACTCGAGTCCGATCTCTGGGGGTGACCCGGCATCTGCCCCGTCACTAAGGTCCCACTGGAGCTGGAGAGCCCCTGACCGAGACAGAGAAAGAGGGAGGAGGACAGAGAGTGAGAGCAAGAGCAGCGAAGGGAGAGAGAGAATGAGAGAGCCCAGAGCCGGTCCCTCCGCAGACTCGGCCCCGCCGCCCGAGTGGAACAATCGGGCACTGTCCCTCTCCCTCCCACCTCCCCCGCCCCAGGCTCCCACCAGCTTTCATCACTGACCTAACCCAGGGGCAGAGCACCAGGCGAGGGGGAGGGAAGGTCAGGGGTCAGCCCATTACATGCCAAGCAAAGCCAGGAATAGAGCTGCTTTGGAGGTGGGTGGGTGCGGGGGACCAGGGGCCCCGTGGAAGCCCACCTCCCACCTCTGGTCAGAGGCAGCCCCGGGGGCAGTTGAGAAGAGAGGCCAGTGCTGCCCTGCACCCCAGGGGCAATGGGTCCACGGCTCCATCAAAGCTGGCAGTGGGCTTCTGGACGGGTGCAGATGCCTCCAAGCAACACCAGTTCCCTGGCTGGAGTTAGTGGGAGCCACTTCCCTGTCCCTAGGGAGCCTGGCCCCGCAGACCCTCGTCCCCAGGGCTGGCCCACCCAGCCAGGGCTCCTCCCTGCTGCCTCCCCAGCCCAGCTTCCCGGTTGCACAACCCTGTCCCTACTCCCCCAGACTTGGGGAGGGGGACAAAATGCCCCCCACTCCCACCTGCCCGGTGGCTGCAGCCAGTGCACGGCTCTGCCTGCTCCGGCCCCCTCCGCTAGTGTCCTATGGCCGCCCAGGGCCAGGCAGAGTCCAGGGTCCTGGTTCTGACCCGGGAGGGAGGCCTCGCTGGCTGCTGCCTCGGCTCTGGGCTGCTGCTCCCGGCGACGGGTGCTCGTTCATTCATGGGAATGCACTGCCTGCTACTGTGCTGCGTCTGTGACAGTGGTGTGACCCCCCCGATCCTGTCCCTGGGGAACTCCCAGTCTGGTGGGGAAACGGACTTGAAACTGGCTAACAAGCAAACAAATGGGAACCCCCAAGCTGTGTCGTGAGCCTGGCGGAATGAGCGGGTGTCTGAAAGGGAGGAGCCAGGGCCGTACTTGAGCTGGGTGCCTAGGAGGGCTTCCCTGAGGAGGTGACGTGAGGGCGTGAGCAGACCTGGGGGAAGAACACCGTGGGCAGAGGGGGCTGCAAAGGCGGCCAGAGGCCTGGGACAGGATGTGCAGGGGGAGGAGGGGCGGGCCTGGGTCTCTAGGGGACGACCCTGAGCTGGTTCTGCTTGTGCTGGGAAGACCCCGGAGGGGTCTGGGTGGGGAGTGGCTTAGTCTGACTTGACTTGAACACCAGCACTGATCCCCAAGACAGCCGTTGTGAGCCACAGAGACCAGGACTCAGAGCCCTCAGATGACGCTCCTGTGGGCACACGGCTGCCTCTGGGTTCCCCCCGCCACCAGCTCCCTACGCATCCACAGCTCCGCCCCCTCCCACTGGGCTCCCCTTCAGATTTGGGGCCCTCTTGATGCTCTGAAGCGGGAGGTGTTACTTAGGTTCATCGCCCGTCGCTCCCACTGGTGTCGGGGCCAGACCTTGTTCTGCCTGGTTCTCTGGTGTGTTCTCGTGGCCCGGCCCGCACAGACTGGGTGTGCAATACTATTTATCGTCGACACTATGTATCGAACGAATAAATGCGTGAATGACTAGTCCCCGTCTAAGGGCTGTGGCGAGGTTCACAGGTGACAGTGAGCAGAAGCTGCTCAGCAAGGAGCCTGGCACAAAGCAGATTCCCAGAAAGCCCACGCTCTGGATCTTGGTGCTGATGGTTAATTGAGCCGAATCCCACCCACCAGCCCGTGGTTCTTGACCTTTACAGGGGCTGCAAAGCCAGCAGTGAGTCAGGCCTCGCGCTGGGACCACAGCTGCGCTGACTGGCAGGCACGCCCGGCACGGCGCACCACGCGCTTATCCAGCCTCACCGCCTCACCCATCGCCTCGGTGGTCTCTCCAGCCAGCCCCTGAGCTGGGCGCGGCGGTACCAACTCCAGGAGTGGAAAGCAGGGAGAACTCATGCAGCTCTGGTGTCCCCTGGTGTTTCTCACAATGGCCACTGGGTGGCAGCACGACCCCAGGAATATGGGGTTGGGGGCTAAGCTTTTCCCCGTTGAATCTGAGGCTCAGGAACTGAGGGAGGAGTCATGGAGGGAACCCAGGCCCAGAGAGGGATTGGGACTTGCCCAGGGTCACAGTTTTCAGTGGCAGGGCCAGGCCAGGTGAGAGGACGCCTGCCTGCCTGGACAGACTTGGGGGCAGAGCAGGGGGAAAGGAGGAGCAGCGAGCTTGGAGCGCGAGGGTCTGAGGACCCGCCCCGGTCAGCCTCCTACAAGTGGGTGGATGTTCTCATCTGAATTTCAGCCCCTAGAGTCTGACCCGTTTTGAAAAAGGTGCTCACACCTCCCTCCGAGGCTCTTGTTGACCCCTCTCACCTGTGACTCTGGCAAAGGTGGCCATTCTCCCCATGCTCCCACTGGGACTTGCACGGTAACCTCGTCACCCCTGTCACCGACCCCACTGTCTGTCTCCCTCCCCCTCCCCCTGCCACAGTGATTCCCTGAGGACAGGGCCTGTACCACCTTGCCCTCTGGCTGTGTCACCTGCCCTTCTTCATGGCCTAGGTACCGCCAGCACCTCTTTTAGCACTCAGCTGAGTGTTGCTTCCTCCAGGAAGCCTTCCGGGCCTTTGGCTCCTCCTCATGGTGAGGCCCAGGAGAGGGACTGTGTGTCCACCCGAGCATGCACAGACTGTGCACACCCTGAGCCTCTGACGCCGTGGGACACCAGAGTCGGCACTGAAGCCGTGCAGGGAGCTTCGTGCAAATGCAGCCTTCGAGATCCCCCTTCCCCAGAGACCCGGATCCAGCAGGTGTGTGACACAGCCCAGGACTCTGCACATAGGACTCCTCCCTGACGAGTCTGGCACAAGGGTGTGAGAGTGTGAAGGCCCCTTCAGTGTGCCATCGACCCTGCCCCCGGAAGTAGTTGGCAAAATGAAGATGATGAGGAATGACAATAACCACCTCTGGCATCTGTGCCAAGGGACTCACACCTCTTGTCACACCCATTTCCCCTTTAATCTTCATCTCCATACCTTCTCTCTCGGGAGGGATGGGCATCCCCATTTTACAGATATCTGAGGCTCAGAGGCAGAGGGTGATCTGCCCCAAATGCCCCAGCTACACACTGGCAGAGCCTGCTCTGGGGTCACCCCGGAGCGGCAGAGCTGCAGGCTGTGTTAAAGTTCCTAGGCTTGGAAAGAGGTGTTTGCTGAAAATCAAAATTCCAAACCTCAGGACCTACACCGAAGGTCCTGGTTTCCCAGGGATCAGGCCCTCATCACCTCATTCCCTCTCTGCCCATCCATGGCCTCTCCTCCAGGGCCCAGAGAACACCCCATCTCACGTAAAGCTACAGCTATTTCTATGCACTTCATCCACAGCCAGATATTGTGCCAGGTCCTGTGGGAGATACAAGGGGCAAGACCTACCCCAGGGGCTTCCGTCCCACGGGGGGACAGGAAATGCTCACTTGGGTGATGGAGCAAGGTGCTCCAACTTCCTTTCCCCTCAAATAAATTCATGGCCCCAACCCCACCCCCTTAATCAGCTGGGACAGGTTCCGTGCTGTGGGGGCTGACCCAGGAGACCCCTGCCCTGACAAATATAAAGTGGGTCCTAATATCTTCATTCTAATGGGCAGGACAAAGCAACTTGGTTTTCTTTTCCTTGTTTGTTGCAATGATACCTGTTGATAAATTCCTAGCATTCTATGGAAGGCATTATAAAGTCGGTACAGATGCAGGAGAGACATGGTCATGGTGAACTTCAAAATCCTGTGAAAGTGGCCCAATCAGCAGATCAGTGGGTCCAGGAGAAGGTCGTTGCTACTGCAACATTCTGCACGTCTGCAGAGGCTCAGATTAGCTCCCTGAGGAGGAGGTGCGTGGGCTCCCAGGGGTCCACAGATATTCCGATAACCATCTTTCTGCATCCGTCTTTCCACCAAAGCCCCTGGGGGCAGCTGGGAAGGAAGCTGGACGGGCCTCGGCCCAGGCTGCCTGCATGAGGTGGATGCCAGGGCGTCCAGGGAATCCACTTCACACAACAGTCACGGCCGCAGAGGCTGGTGGGGAGACGAGATTCGGACCCCTTGGCTGGGAAGCACAGATGGCACTTCCTGACCTCAGTGGGACTCCAGGACAGCTGTTTCTCAGGGCTAACGAAGGAGACGGGGTGTGAGGAAGCTCTCACCAAGTACAGTAGAAACCATCTGCCGCAATGCTCTCAGCTTGCATGCGGGGGTGGGGGGGGTGGGGGAGGGAGGTGCGGAAAGGGAAGGGAAAGTAACCTGCCCGACTTGTCAAAAGCAGACCCACTGGACACAGGTGTGCAGGTGTAAAACGGGCACTGGACGAGGTCGCAGTCTCCAAGACCTGGATCTTACACCAAACCTTGGTTGGGTGGCTCTGGACAAAATCCCTTCCTCTCTCTGGCACTTAGTTTCCTGGTTTGCAAAACCGGGATTAGGTAGGCTGCCTCGAACACTGTCTTTCTAGTAGAGGAGTCACAGCACCCTAGGACGGGGTATGGAAAATGGGAAAGGGTTTGTAGGTCATCGGACTTCGCCGAAAGTCTCCCCATCTAAGGATGCTCCCGTTGCCACGGCAACCGGCCGGCCGGCGTGGTCCCTAGCGTCCCGCTGAGGAAGCTGGGAAGAACCCTGCCCTCACCAAGATGGCGGCGGCCTCAGGACAAGGGGAGGGGTTGAGCGCTGCCGGCCGGTCCAGACCTTTTCTCTGTTTCCGCTTTCCCATGCCAACGGGCGAGCTTCCGTCAGTACTTGTCCTCTTTCCTGCTTCTGGGAGCCCCGGGAGCAGGGAGGGAAGGCTTGTCTGCAGGGATTGGGGCAAATACCCGGAGGGGGAAGGCGTGACTTCTGCGTCCTGCCGGAAGTGACGCGACAGTCGCGGCCGCCGACAGGTGGAACGGCAGGTGGGTTCAGGTGCCAGCCTGGCCGGCACCCGACTGTGGGACCGACGCTTCCGGTGAGCGCCAGAGGCACCTCCCCAGGGCTTGGAGACCCGTGGGACGGGCTCTGGGATCTGAGCCCGCCACCCTGGTCTGGAGGCCCCTCCCCCCCAGCTCCCCCCCCACCTCTTACCTAGTGAGAAGAATCACCTGCCCACCCGCCGGGACGCCCCCCACCGACCAGAGGGGAGGGGGAGGGCCGGCAGCGCCGGGGTTGGAGTTGGCGGGTAGGCACAGCAGTTCCCTGAGCCCCTACGCTCCTTTCTCTCCCGGATCCAGTTCTCTGCTCCCCCGCCGAGCTGAGCAGTTAGCCAGCCCACCTCAGCTCCCGGAACCATGTTTGCAGACTTGGACTATGACATCGAAGAGGATAAACTGTGAGTATTTCGTTCTCCCAGCTCCCAAAGCTGCAGGTGCCCCAGGCCCCCCACCCCCAGGCCCCCTTGCTTCCCAGTTGCACCGACCCTTGCTTCTCGGCAGGGGATCAGGTCTGGGTCTTGTACTGTAGCAGAAGGGACCCTGCCCTTCCAGGAGCTCACGTCTGTAGGGGGCTGTGGACACAATAACAGAGCATTACAATTCAGGGCCATAAGGGTCCCAATGGAGAGCGGCCTGGCCACCAGGAGAGCAGAGCAGGTGGGGTGGGGTAGTCAGGGAAGGCTTCACGGAGGAGGTGGCAGCTGAGCCAGGTTCGGAAGGATGAACAGGAATGTCGTAAGCACACCGCCCTCCCCAGAGCAGACAATGAGCGGGACGGGAGTTTTCAAAAGCTGAGGTGTCCTGGTTAGACTCCGTCCTCCCTCGGAGCCGGGACTGGTGCGGGGCCTTTCTGTGTGCTCGGCCCTTTGTGAGGTTCTCCACGGCGTCAGTAGGTTGTCAGCGCGCATTTGTTGTTGAGTGAATGAGTGCGTAAGTGAGGACATTTACCACAAAGCATAAGTAGTGCTAATTTGTAGTGAGGGCCGGGAGGTAATTGAGTAGAGCGGCCGAGAGATGGGCGACGGGCCGTTTAGCAGGGGCAGGCTTCCCAGAGGAGGTGATCTCAACAATCCACGTGCACCTGACGCTGTGACACGTCTCACTCAGACCTCGGAGGCGGAGTCAAGCCGAGGGAAGGGGGGCCTATTTTTATGCAGTGCTTGCTATGGCCCGGCTTGGTGTTAAACACTTTCTGCACCCTCTTACAAGCACTTGGATAAAGTCGCCATTTCATCCGTGCTCTTTTAGGGATGAGGAAACCGAGGTGCGGAGAGGGTAACTCGCCCAAGCCGGTAGCCGATTAGTGGCGGAGCCGGCATGTGGTCCCGTGACTCCGAGAGCCGTGCGCATCTCAGCACCAAACGCTATCTCTCTGGCCAAATGCGGAAGGCAGGGCTGGGCAGCGTGGAGCCGCTCGGGGTGTCGGAAGGCCCGTCCCCTTCCCCGTCCCCTTCCCCGTCCCCTTCAGTCACGCTTCCTCCAGGAGACTCAGCCTCTCGTGCTTCTCTCTGTAGCGGAATCCCGACCGTGCCGGGCAAGGTGACCCTGCAGAAGGACGCTCAGAACCTGATCGGGATCAGCATCGGAGGGGGCGCCCAGTACTGCCCCTGCCTCTACATCGTCCAGGTACTGCGGGCTTCGGGGCGGGGGGTGAGGCCCTCGAGCGGGCGAGCCGCCTCCTTGCTTGGGCATCACGCAGGCAGGTTCCTCCCTCTCCTCTGCGCAGCTGGCTCCTTCCGTTCTTGAGGTCTGACCTCCTAGGACAGTCCCTCTTCACCCCCCCCCAAGCAGGTGCCCTCTTGTTCTCCTCCGTGATTTCAGTCTCTTCTCACTCTTCTCAGCACTCATCACTGTCTTAGTCATCAGGCGCCTAGCTGCCTTCCCAGACTTCTTGTGCCGTGAGGGCAGGGCCCCGCTGGCTTTGCCCGGCAGTCAGCACCTGGGAGATGCCGGCCGTGGAGGGCCTTCCATCGGTGTCTTGAATGAGCCCCCAAACCTGGTCTGCAGCCTTTGGTGCTGGGCAGGGCTGAAAGGCTAGGAAATGAGGTTGGCCTGAGTTCAGATCTACTTCCCTGGTTATTAGCAAGTTTGTTCAGCTCCCAGGGCCTCAGTGTCCTCGCCTGGAAAGTGGGGATATGAAGTGTGTGAAGGTGAGCATCTTCGGGTTGTTGTGAAGGTCAGATAAAATGGCGTGGTGCAATGCCTGGCGCGGAAGAGGTCCTCACAAAGTTGTTGCTGCTATTGTTTTTTTTAAAGGTTTTATATATATATTTCTAGAGAGAAGGGAAGGGAGGGAGAAAGAAAGGGAAACATCGATTGGTTGCCTCTTGCACGCCCCCAGCTGGGGACCTGACCCACATCCCAGCATGTGCCCTGACCAGGGATCGAACTGGCGGCCTTGTGGTTTGCAGGACGATGCCCAACCGACTGAGCCACAGCAGCCTGGGCACTGCTACTGTGTTTATGGCAGTTGCTCACGTCCCCAGACGAGCTGCCGGGGGTAATGCACGATTTTGCAGTCCCTTGTAGAGGGAGCAGCCTCGTGTCCTGTCGGCTGTGACTCAGGAGTGGCAGCGGTCTTTCTGTAGACTTGGAAGGGACCTTGCCCCCTGGACATAAACTTGATCCAGATTCTACCCTGCTCTGACCCGTTCTGACCGCTGAGTAGCCGTTGGTGGCAGGTGGGAAAGCATGGTCTCTGAGGATCTTGCGAAGGAGGCGGTCAGTTCTGGGCCTTGAAGACGGAGATTCCTGGGACCCCGTCTCGCCGCTCAGGGGGCTGCCTTCTCGAGCGGTTTGGCCTCTTCCCGTCCAGCAGGCGTCAGGGAGGCCGCCCTCCCCAGGCCCGGCCTCCTCCCCGTGCGCCCGCTTAGCCTGTCTCCTCCCAAACCACTCTGCCTTCTCTCACCCGACCTGCGCCGCGTAGCTGTTCTGTAACTTTCTGGCTAAATCAGTGCCAGTCAGCTCGGAGCAGCAGTGTTAGAGAAATCGACCGCAGACGTGACTTGCGAGGAGCAGACGCTCAAATGGGGGCGTGAGGTCTGCTGTGTTTGGCATCAGGAAGGGCAGGTGTCGTCAGTCATGTGTACCCCCTGCCCTCCTCCTCCCGGCCCTCAGAGCGTGGGGCCGGCACTGCCGTCGGTTCCGGCACGTCTACCCCGTCTTTCTCTAGCGCCACTTAAGGGACCTCGGGGTAGAGGCCAGGATGGGGCCGGGTGTTGGTCAGGTGAAGGGACGCCTGTCTCTCACCAGCTGTCTTCCCAGCTGCCCCTTTTCTCCCCACCCCGCCCTCCTCGTGCACCCCCAGGTATTTGACAACACCCCGGCGGCCCTGGACGGCACCGTGGCCGCTGGCGATGAGATCACCGGCGTCAACGGCAAGTCGATCAAAGGGAAAACCAAGGTGGAGGTGGCCAAGATGATTCAGGAAGTGAAGGTAAGGACAGCTGGCAAAGCCGCTTCTGAGGCCCCGGCAGGCCTGGGGGGGGGTGCTGGCCTTGCACGGCCTCTGTCCCGGGAGCACCCCAGCCTCCCACGGCTCTTCCTGTGTTCGTTCAGGCAGCGCCAGCTGAGCTCCAGGACTCGTGCACGCTTTGGCAAGGGGGTGGGCACCAGGAGCTCAAAGTCCCCTGTCCTCGAGCTCCCGGGGGCCAATCAGTCAGAACTGGGTTCAGCTGCCCCACAGCTGTTTGCTCCAGGCCCAGGCTCCTGCTGAACAGTGGGGCATCCCAGCACCAGAGGGCGCTAGTGCGTAGCCCTTCTGCCGTCCCCCGGAGACTTGCGGCGAGTGACTCTAGGGAGCCCGACACAGGGAAGGAGCTGCAAAGCCACGGGACGACTTCAGAGTCTGGGAGTTCAGGGTCCCAGCTGTAACCTGAGCTCGGCCAGGCCGGCTGAGTGCTTCAGCTCCCCCTGCCCCCCATCCGAACTGCTCCTCCCTCCCCCTCCGTCATCTGTGTCTTAACGGCCTGGTGCCAGCATTCTTTCCCAGCCCTGCTTCTTGCCTTAGCCCAGGGCCAGCGCCTTCTCCCCTTTACTCGGCTCTGCCCCGCCGCTCTCCTGCCTCCTGCCTCCAGGGCGGGGGGTCCAGCCCTGGCCTTTCTCCCGTGTCAGCCCCTGTAGCCACGGGACAGGTGGGGGCTGGGCTTCAGGGCCCCGCTGCACAAGAGGAAGTGACAAGTTCGTCCAGAGCCCAGCCGCTGCTCCCCCTGGTCTGGACTGGACCGTCCCGGGCATAATCTGCTGGGCCGAGGAGCTCATCGTGGGAGTGGGGGGCAGTGTTTCCTTCTGGTTCAGAACTGGGGAGGGTGCGTGCCCTTCTGGGTCTTCCCCTCAATGCCCCCACCGTGGCTCCTCACCAGGACCCTCCTCATCCTGCCCTGCACCAGCCCCTCGCGTTTCCGTGGGGACCAGAGCCCCCCGTGCGTGTGCGCAGCCTCAACATGAACGTGGGGATCTCCTAGCTCTTGTGTGGGTGCCCAGAGGGAGGAAGGGATTTGCTTGGGGTCGCCCAGTGGGGCTGGCACCCGGGGCCGACTCCCACTGCGTTGTCGCCCTGCCACCTGTGGTGGCCCCCACACACCTGCCATGCTCTTGGGGAGCCCGGTGCACCCACTCCTGGTCTCAACACTTCAGGCCAGTGTGGTTTCCCTTCAGGACCCGGTTCTGAAACACTGTCTTGTATTTGGGGGGTGCAGTCCCACGTTGAAAGGTGTTGGGGTTGCGAGGGCAGGAGTGGCCAAGGCGGCCTACCTGGCGGCCCGGGCCCTGGGGTGGGCCCCTGCGCTGCGTCTTGACACCCCAGCACCAGGCGGCACCCCAGCACCAGGCGGAACCCCAGTACCAGGCACAGAGAAGGGAGTGGAGGGGCCCAGAGGGAGGTGACGGCTCAGAGCGAGGGGGAGGATCCTCCGTGCGGGCGGGGGCGGGGAGACGGTGCAGCGCAGGCTGGACTGTGCCATGGGGAGGGCGGCACGCCTGCTCTGGCCGGAGCATGGGACCCCGTCAACTGCCCAGCGGCGAGCTCTGTGACAGCAGGTAGCACGTCTGTCCTTGCCCCCGCTGGCTCCCCAGGGCCTGGGGGTTGGAGAGGGCGGGACCTGGGAGTGGAGCTGTCACAGTGCCAGGGCCTGTCACAGCCCGAGGTCTGGCGGGGCTAGATTCGGGGTTCCCTCATAACCACAGGTTGAGGGGCCGTGGGCCTCCCTGGGGAAGGGCCGGGTGCCCGGAGGCCCCTCCTCAGCCCCGCCCACTCTGCTCTTCCAGGGGGAGGTGACCATCCACTACAACAAGCTGCAGGCGGACCCCAAGCAGGGCATGTCCCTGGACATCGGTAAGCGGGCCGGAGCAGCGGCGTCCGGGGCCCCTTTGTGACACTGCGCCGGCAGTTAGGTGGTCACGCTCTGACTGTTCTGCCCGCGCCAGGCCCCGGGGCTGGGAGGCCACCTCCTCTGGGGCCTTGCTGCCCCAGGGCTGCCCCTCGTGGGCCTGGGCACTCACCCTCCCGGCGGGGAGGGCGCCCCACCCCCGGCCTGGTGCCTCAAGGGCCCCTGCACGCCCCCGCCCCACCTCGACCTCTTCTCCCGCCCAGCTTCTCCCTTCTCCCAGGAAAGCCCAGGTCTGGACCGGCCCCGGGCCACCTCCCCTGCCCGGCGTGCCCCAGACAAGGTGGCTTCTGCTGTGGGGCCTGTTCTCTAGACACTCCCAGATGCCAGAGCCCACCGCAGGCGAGGTCCTCTGGGCTGGCCTCTCATTGGAGATCAAGGCCTGTGACCCCTAGAGGGCGCTGTGTCCCCCAGGGTGAATGTGCACCCGGACCCCTGGGCTCCAGTCTGGCGCCTTTTCCCTGTACCCTGGGGCCAGACCCACCTGGCGGTTTTCTAAGGGGAGAGGCCGAGGGCAGGTTGAGTCTGTCCTGCGTTCTTCCTCCCAAACCCTTTGTGCCTGCCCCGGCCCCCGGCTGAGGACTGAGTATGCAACCGGGTGTACAATGACCGAGTCTCAGGTCCAAGGTCCGCTGTCATCCATGGTGCCTCTCCTCCCCTCCGGACACTGGGTCTGGATGTGGAGGTCGGGGGAGGGGCGTCCTCTGACTTCCCTGCGGCTCCCATCAAGGCTGTGGCATCCGGGCTGTCCGTGCTGAGCTGCTGCTCCATAGGCCTGGGCCCCGGGCTCAGCACCTTGCATGGTGACCCCCTGCCAGGCTCTCAAAGGCCCCTGAGGGTGAACGGAGCCGGGCCCAGTACCCCCCTTGGGGACCCTCCCACAGCATAGTCGCCCCAATGAGTCCAGTGAGGTGGGGCAGGGCGGCCTGGGGGCCCACCGCAGACGCCGCCTCACCGAGCCCCTCTCTCCCCCGGTCCCAGTGTTGAAGAAGGTGAAGCATCGGCTGGTGGAGAACATGAGTTCGGGGACCGCAGACGCCCTGGGCCTCAGCCGGGCCATCCTGTGCAATGGTGAGTCCCTTCCTGCCCAGGCCCCAGCCCGGAGCCTCAGGCCGGGCTCCCAGGGCAGGGGCACTGCCTGTCCGACAAAGCCATTGTGGGTCCCCCCTCTGGCCTGGCCCTGGCTTCTGCCCATGGGGACGATGGTCACCATCTCCTTGAATCCCCAGAGACCTCTCCAGCTCCCACAAGGCATGCACAGTGGTCAGCTGAGTGTCCCCTACCTGCAGGTGAGGACTCACAGATGCAGGTCACAGGCAGGGAGATGGACCCACAGTGGGAGGTGCCTCCTTCCAGCTCCCCAAGCCGCTTTGCCACTGCACCTTCGCCACTGCGCCCGCTGCTCACCTAACCAGGCCCTGCCCTACCCCAGTGCCTCCCCTCTCTTTCCTCTGGCCCCTTGCACTAGCGTGGCCGCGGCTCCGGCGCTGCGCGGCTCCGTTGCTGCCTTCCTCCAGCAGGTGGCGCTGCTGCCCTCCTTTCGGCCGTTTAGGGCTGGAGGTGGCTGCCTGGAGGGAGAGGGCCTGCGGGGTGCGCACGCTCACACCCACACATGCGTGTGCACTCGCTCTCCCCCCAGGGCGGCCAGTGAAGCACTTGGCCCCGCTCCTGCCGTCAGCAGCCTGCGTCTATAAACAGCAGCAGCCCTGCCGAGCGTGGGGGGCAGATGTAAATGCCTCCCTAAATTGTAGGCGCAGCGGGGCCCTCTGGGCTTCATTGGCTGGGACGTGGGGGTGGGGTCTGAGCTCCTTCCAAATGGCGTTCAAAAGTGGAGGCTGCTATTTTCGGCCTCTTGGTGTCTATAAATCCCTGTTACTGTAGTTACCATGCGTTGAGATGAAATTAGAACCGGTTGTTGTGTTTTTCCCCCCAAACCTTGCAATTTCCCCAGCCTTAAATAGGGCTTCTAAAACCGAAGCTGGCACGATGTCCCGTGACCCTGCTAAAAGCAGCAGCACGCCGCTTACGTGGCTCCCGCCCCGCCAGGCTGGCCGGGCGCCAGGCCGCTGAGCAGCCGGGGCCTGGAGACCAGCCGGTGGCCTCAGTCTCATGAGGACCCCCACGCTGCCCCCTTCCTGCCCCGAGCCTGAGCCTTCCTCCCCCGACAGGCCGCCGCACGGCGGCCTTCCCTGGCCAGAGGAGGGCCCAGCCTCGGCCTCTGCTCCTCCCGTCCTCCCCTCCGCCCGGTCCACACTGGACACTGGGGGCGGAGCGCCCCAGCTCCTACGGTCCCCCGCTGTGTGTCTGTGATCAAGTCGCTTTAGCTCCCTGTCCCTGGTCTTGTTTCTTGTAAAACAAGGGAAGTAGCTCTCCCCCAAAGGCTCACGTGGGCCCAAGACTGCGAGGTGTGGAGGGAGCCAGGAGGGCCCTGGCTCAGAGCACAGGAATGTGGGAAGGCCAGACCCCAGCTGAGGACGGCCGGGCACGGAAGCTGCAGACACGGGCCCCAGGCCTGCAGCTGCTGCCGGTGCCCCTGGCGTGGAGGTGCGGCACGTCCCATTGGAGTGGAGGGCATGGCGCTCGCCGCAGGGGAAGCCCTGCTGGTCCAGCTCCTCGCCGCCCTGGCCCTGAGCCTGGCTGGTAGCTCCTGGCTGGCGCCTCTCTAACCGGAAAGGCCCGGCTCAGCCCTGGCAGCCCACGTGCCCCCTCACCTTACAGCCCTTACTGCCCGCCAGACATCGGCCGCCACTGCCCGGCCCCGCTGCTCGACTGCGAGCCTCCGGGGCACGCGGGGGACCCCACTCACCCAGCCATTCCTGGGGCGTAACGTGGGCCTGTGCTCAGCGAACGGTCACCCAGGCCCCGTCCGGCACAGGCTCCTCCCCAGAGCCCTTCCAGAATGCCTCCCCTCCCCACGTCTCCCCCCTCCGAGCCAGCATGGCCACCTTTCCCATTCGCTTCTCCCGTGCCGGGAGCCGGGAGCCGCGCTGAGCCCGTGCTGCAGTGATTGCCGCCGCCGCCGTGTCTCGTCTCTGCCGCTGCCCCCGACCGCCTTCCCCTTGGCTCTGGGCCGGCTCCTGTTAGCCTGTGGGGGGGCCTTGGCCTCGAGATGGGCCAGGGGAGGCCCCCAACCATTTTTCACACGTGACTTTCAGAAGTCCCTGCATCTGCCCCTTGGATGTGCCCCAGCCTTCTGGGTTGGGGGCTGCCCTGCCTCTCGTCTGGGTGTTCTGAGCTGTTCATGCAACCCCTCTGAGCCAGCGGCCCCCGAGGGGCCCCATCCCCCTCCATGGACCCTGCTGTGCACCGATCCTGTCTGTCCTCTGGGGTCCCCCGCTGTCTCTCCCCACCCCTGGCTCACAGAGACGACTGACCTCCCCCCTCTCTGACCCCCACAGACGGGCTTGTCAAGAGACTGGAGGAGCTGGAGCGCACCGCGGAGCTCTACAAAGGTGGGTGGCGCCCCTGACCGGGTAGTGTGCGGGCTGGCGCTGGCTGCACCCTGGGGGGCCACAGTGGGGGTGGGAAGGCCAGCCTGCCAAATTCCGGGGCCGTGGCTGTTAAGAACTCTTTTTAAAAAGTCTTAAAGACATGCATTTTTGGACTATAAAAGTAATGCATACCCACAGAAATTCAGTAAGAGCGTGTGTAGATGTCGGGAAAGTCCCCCGGACGGGTGCTCTCCTGCCCCCCAGACAAAGCCTGCAGGGGGCCAGTCCACCTCCCGCCCCTGTGGGGCCCTGGCTGCCCCGCCTGATGAGGGTGTCTGAGGAGGGCTCCTTGTGGTGGGAGCTGCACCTGTACCCCTGGGCCAGGGTGGGGGGGTGCCTGTGGGAAAGGCAGTGAACCCAGGGATGGGGTGGAGTAGAGGGTTGGGGCATGTCCCAGGCCTGGGGGGGGGGGGGGCGGAGCCCCACCCCATGCCCCACCCCGACGGTGTGGTCTCTCCCACAGGGATGACGGAGCACACCAAGAGCCTCCTGCGGGCCTTTTACGAGCTGTCGCAGACACATCGGGGTAAGGGCGCCCCCAGACTCACTGCGTGACCCCAGGCAAACCCCTGCCCTGCCCCCGGGGCTCCACGTGGCCCACACAGTGAGGGTGTGGCCAGGGTGCTGGGCAGCTCTGGGCGGGGCTCTGTCCAGGCACCGCAGGAGGCCACGCTGGTGCCAGCGGGAGCATCCAGACCGGCTGGTCTTCGTGGGGCGGCCCCTCTCTGCCCTGTCTGCGTGCCCTGCCCCCTGCAGCGCACGAGGCCCTTTCCCATTCGGGGTCCCGTTTCCTCCCAGGCCCCCAGCTGGACAGGGCAACCACCGCTCACCCCGTTTTCCAGGTGGGAGAGGGAAGCCAGGGCACAGGAAAGGGTCACACAGCTCCTAAGGGGCCGAGCCGGCCCAGGACCCGGTGTCCAGGCCCCAGACCAGCGCTCCGCCCTCAGATGGCGCTGCTGCCCCCTGGCCCGGCCCAGCCGTCTCCCGCAGGCTGGTCCCTCAGGAGATCGAGGGCAAGCTTAGGGTACCTTGGGGTACCCACCACGCCTCCTCAGCGGTGCAGACCCAGCTCCCTCCAACCCTCTAGGGGTGCAGACTGGCTCTGGCACGGCATACACGCATCTCATGGGGTATAGACCCCACGCAGAGCTTGGCCTTCAGCCTGCACACCCCCTGCCCCCACAACACCCCCCCAACACCCCCCACAAGGGCCAGGCAGGGGCAGCCTTCAGGGTAAACTCGTCTCGCAGCCTTTGGGGATGTGTTCTCCGTGATCGGGGTGCGGGAGCCACAGCCGGCCGCGAGCGAGGCTTTTGTGAAGTTCGCCGACGCCCACCGCAGCATCGAGAAGTTTGGCATCCGGCTGCTGAAGACCATCAAGCCGGTAGGTCTCAAGGAGCACCTGGCCTGGTGTCGACCTCCAGGTGGTCCGTGGCCCTGCCCCACCGCTGCGTCCGGGCCGCCCCTGGCCTGGCCCATCCTGGCCTCTTTGTAACGAACAAGAGTGGTGGGAGCACCCGTGGGCTCCGGCGTTCGGAGTCCACTAGGTGCCGCTCTCTGTCACCCCGGCCAGCCGGGCCCCTGCCTGTGGGGGCCTCAGCATGCGCCCCCTGCCCCCCCAGATGCTGACGGACCTGAACACGTACCTCCACAAAGCCATCCCCGACACGCGCCTCACCATCAAGAAGTACCTGGACGTGAAGTTCGAGTACCTGGTGAGTGGTCTCTGGGGGGTGGGGGGGGCGGGGCGCTCTGTCCTGCAGGCTGAGAGCCCGCCCAGAGCCCCCCACGTCCGAGGCAGGGTGTGGGCCCCAGGCCAGGGGCAGAGCCCTCACTGTGGACTTCTGACCCCCCTCGGGATGTGGGAGTCCCTTTACTAAGAGGTTAGACCAGGTCAGTGGTTACACGGTGGGCGCTGAGGGACGTCAGTGAGTCTCACGTCTCAGTGGCCGTGTTGCGGTCCGAAGGAGTGGGGTGGGGGCGGCGCCCCCTCAAGCAGCGGCGGCCCTCCGCTGCAGGACGTCTGGGCGCCTCTCCCAGGCCCGTCTGCAGCCGAGCCAGCAAGGCCTCCCTAGTGCCTGGGACTGGGGGCCCGTTTTCCCAGAGCACCCCTCGGGCCTTGAGCTTGGTAGATGGGGGGCGGCATCTCAGGCCCTTCCACCCTCCCCAGCGAGCGTCCTGCCCCGTCTGCTGCCCCCCCGTCCCGGGCCACCCCCAGCAAGCGCCAGTGTGCATGAGGCGCTCCCGAGCACCACTGCCCTCTCCGACCGGGCCTCCCCTCCGCCCAGCCGGGGGTCTGCAGGGCCCAGGAGGCCCAGCCTGGCTTCTCCCCTGGGTGGTTTCAGGGCTGTGTGGCATGTGGGGAGCTGGGCAAATGGGCACACCAGGGCGGGCCCCCAGGAGGCGCAGCCGCTCTGACAGCCAGCCTCGCCTGTCCCCACAGTCTTACTGCCTGAAGGTGAAGGAGATGGATGACGAGGAGTACAGTTGTATCGTGAGTGCACGGGGCTGGGACACAGCCCTGGGGTCCAATAGGTTCGGCACAGGGGCGGGGACTCGGCCCTGGGGTCCAATGGGTTTGGCACAGGGGCGGGGACTCAGCCCTGGGGTCCAATAGGTTCGGCACAGGGGCGGGGACGCGGCCCTGGGGGCTGAAAGGCTCGGTGCACACCACCCCCTGCCTGCCTCGCAGGACCCCCGAAGGTCCTGTCTCTGCCAGGGACACCGGGTGGTCCAGGCCGGCCTGGGAGCGGCCTGGGGGCCCGGCCAGCTCTTGTTCCTGAAGACGTGGGGCCATGTCCCCCACCCTGGCCCCTCTGGCCAGCTCGCTGCGGAACCACCCCCTGCGCCCACTCCCAAAATAGTTGCCCACGCCCCACCCCCAATTTTGTGAGGTTCGTGCAGGGAAAAACTGACTTTCCTCTCCCTGAGGAGGCCTTTTTTATTCTTAATTTGCACTATTTTTGATACCAGGATCCATCTTACGACTAAATGTTCACTTATTTAACATGGGAAGGGTTTCCGTTTTTTTTTTTTTTTTCCACAAAGGTGTAAGTGCTTCCGGCAACCCTTGGTGTCTCAGAGGTGAGGAGCCCTGGGAGCCGAGAGAAGAACCGAATGGGGTGGGGTGCGAGCTTTCCAGCCCCTGCCCCGTCTGTCCCAGAGCAGAGCCCGCCCGCCCAGCGTCCCTGACGTGCCCCCCCCCCAAGCCCCCAGCGTCCCTGACGCGCCCGCCGCCCCCCTGCCCCAGGCCCTCGGGGAGCCCCTGTACCGCGTGAGCACCGGCAACTACGAGTACCGCCTGATCCTGCGCTGCCGCCAGGAGGCGCGCGCGCGCTTCTCGCAGATGCGCAAGGACGTGCTGGAGAAGATGGAGCTGCTGGATCAGAAGCACGGTGAGGGCCCTGGGGGCGAGTGGGGGGCTGGCGAGGGTGACGTCCTACCCCAGTGCGTCCACGCGCCGCCTTCGGCGGGGTGGGCACCATCCCCCCACTTCAGAGCTGGGAAGTGGGAGGCCCAGGAAGGAAGAGCACTCACCTGGGCCCAGGACCGGCCGGCAGCGCTCTGAGTTGGACCCAAGACAGAGCCCCGGCGAGCGTGCGCGCGCCCCGCCCCCCTCCAGCCTGGCCTGGGTGGGGCGGACTCCCCGGGGTGCAGTCCCCAGCCCATTGGCCCGGCGGCGGGGCGCCTCTGCCCCCTCAGCTGGAACAGAGACCTGGGTTCTGTGTAGGGCCGGGCAGCCCTTGCGCTGCCCCCTGCCGGGGTTTGAGGTCCGGGGAGGTGCCCGAAGGGAAGCCCCGGGTAGGGAGGCGGGTCCGCTCCGCGAGGCGGGCAGCCCTGGCCCACCGGCGCCCCTCCGCCCGCCGCAGTCCAGGACATCGTGTTCCAGCTGCAGCGCTTCGTGTCCACCATGTCCAAGTACTACAACGACTGCTACGCCGTGCTGCGCGACGCCGACGTCTTCCCCATCGAGGTGGACCTGGCCCACACCACGCTGGCCTACGGCCTCAGCCAGGACGAGTTCACCGACGGGGAGGAGGAGGAGGAAGACGAGGAGGAAACGGCAGCCAAGGAGCCGGCCAGGGATGCGCGGGGGGCTGCCGGGCCCCTGGACAAGGCTGGAAGCTGGTGTGCCTCCTGAGTGCGCCCGTGCAGTGCGGATCTGGGGGGTAGGGAGAGCGGGAGGGCGACGGCCTGGAGCGGCGGCTGGGCCACCGCGCGGCAGGGCGGCGCATGAAGGGCTGATGGCTTGGGCCGCCCGCCCGCCCGCTCCCCTGTCCCAGCACCGCAGCCGGGCTCCTGCCCAGGGAAGGCGCCAGGACTGTGGCCTCGGACTTGGGCGCGGGCCCCTCCATCTTCCTCCCCGCCTCCCCAGACAACGAGAGTTTGGTCTCCGGACCTGCCCTAGGAAAAGAAGGGCAGAAAGGAGGGGGGGCTGGCGCTGGCAGGAAGTCCGGGACCCTTCCTCGTGGGCGCCTCCGCCGGCCCCACCTGCAGTCCGCGGGCGTGGGGGCCGAGGCTCCAGTGCACCCTGGCCCCGCCCCAGGCTGGCCCGGCCCCAGCCCACACTCACACCTCGGTGGCCTTTATTTATTTTACTCCCCTGGTTCAGCCACTTCCCTGGGGAAGGGCTGGGCGCTGGGCCTGCGTGGAATAAACACAAACCCAGACGGCTCCGCGCTCTGCAGTGGCCTCAGGCCCGCCTCTTTTTTCCCCCACTCGCTGTCCCGCCCCCACCTCAGGGCTGGTGGGCGCCGGTTCCCGCCGAGCTCTCGCCGCAGCTCTGCCCATTGGCACCGCTGTCCCCGTTCAGAGATGGGACGCCGAGGCCCCAGGTCACGCTGTGCACGGGGGCGGGGCGGGTTTGATCTCCGACTCATCAGGTTCTTCAGGGCTCCTGGCCATGCGCTAACCCTGGTTGGGGGTGGGCAGGACAGGCACTGGGCCAGGAGGACCGAGCCCACCCCCCCCCCATGGGAGAATAGTGAGGGCGCCCCGCCTTCCCGGTGCACCCCTCTGCTGGGGTGGTGGGGGCAGCTGGGGGCCAGCAGCACCTCGGACCCCGTATCCTCCCAGAGCAGCAGAAGCGGGGTGACCGTGTGTCCTGCCTCACCTGCACAGTCCGGCCCACACCTGGGGTCCCAGTGTCATTACTGACAGTGGCCCTGCTCACTTTTTTTTTTTTTATTTAATCTTCATTGTGTTTTTTTCCCATTACCATTTAGTCCTCTTATACCGCCCCCCCACCCCCAAGCCCTATTGACAAAGTGCCCCTGACGACAGTGAGACAGTGAATTGCAGGGGCAGGGACCTGAGTGGGAGTGTCAGACGGGCCTGGGGTTGTGGGGGAGGGGGGCCGTCACCGGGCCACCTGAGCCCTGGGGCAGGAGCAGCCAATGGGGAGCCCCGAGGCTGAGACCAGAACTAGCAGCCTGAGTTCAGTCACAGCCCTGTGACCCTGGACCGTTCCCTGACTTCCCCGTGCCTCAGTTTCCCTGCCTGTGAGTATGGCTAATAGTGGGACCTACCTCGCTGGTCGTGAGGAGGGTCAGATGAGCCACCCCTTGTAAAGGGCTGGGCCAGAGCCTGGCACAGGGCCAGCACTCTGCGTGTTTGTTACTGGGACGCAGTCACCGCTCTGGTGTGCTGGGGGAACCGCGGGAGCGGGGTCAGCAGGCTGGCTGGCCACCTGCAGGGGCGCCCTCGCCTTCCTGCGACCCGGCTGGAGAAAGGCCGTCAGCAAGGAGGGGTCCCTCGTGGGATGGGCTCTTTTGGGGGGGGCAGGGGAATGGCTGGACGGAACCTGCTGCTGCCTCTGGGGCCTGCTGCCCACGCCCAAGGTTTGGAGGAAGGGAGGCCACGGAGGGGGTGCTGGGTGTGTGGGAAGAGGGTAAGTACAGAGAAGGATCTCTCTTCCCCGGGCGGGGTGAGACCTGGAGCTCCTGCCCCGGGTCGAAGTGCAAGAGGTCAGCCATCGGAGGGCGAGAGCAGACGCCTTGGGACGCCCACGAGCGAATCGGGGGTGGGGGCAGCTCCCGGAACCCCACTGGTGCCCACAAGGACACGTGTCCAGGGCAAAGGCTGCAGGACCCCAGAGCTGCACCCTGGAGAGAGGAGACTCGGGCCCAGCTGGGGGAGGGTCCCTCGGGAGGCACTGGCCCCCGAGCTCCAGGGCGCACAGGATGGAGTGGCCTACTGTCACTCCCCAGCGTGGGGGCGGGGCCAGAGCGCAGGGCTAGGGTCCAAGCCCTGTCCTCACCCCGGACCCACACTCGCGTGCTCAGGCGGGTCGAGTCCCGCCCTGCAAGCAGCCCCCACCAGAGAGTGCGCAGGTGTTGCCAGCCCGAGAACACCTGCCCCCACCTCGACCCCTCCCTCCCCCAGCACCTGCCGGCGCAGAGGGCCCTGGGAGAGCCGCTCGGGCTCCCTCCTACCCGTCCCCCCTCCCCAGGTCGGAGGCGCAGGAACAGAGCCTGTCTTTCAGCTGAGCTTTATGACCTTGAGTCTCCCAGGGCTCAGACCCTGTCTGGGCGCAGCAGCTTCACTGGGGAGGGGGGAGGAGGACAGGGCCCAGCCATGGCCCGCTGGGCAGATGAGGGAAGAAGCTTCCCACCTGGCCCCCAGGGGCGACCGCCCCGAGCAGTCCCCAGTGCGCCAGACCCCCTTAGAGCAGCGGGGGCTCTGGGAGGGGAAGTGCTGCGGCTGGAGTGCCGGCCACCCCTCCTCGGCCCCCCTGCGCTACGCAGACGTGGGCGCCGGCCCTGGCTCTGGTGTCTCCTCCACCTCGGGCTCCGCGGGCTCAGCCACGGGGCTCGGCCCCTCCAGGGCCTCGAGGCCACCAGGCTCCCGGGCGGGCTCCCGGGCGGGCAGGGCCTCAGAGTCCCCTTCATCCTCGGCATCCTCGCTGTCGCTGGCCCCGCCCTCGCTGCCTGGGCCGGGCGGGGAGTCCCGAGAGCGGTGCAGGCAGCAGGTGGTGGCCACAGCCATGAAGACCCCGGCCAGGACCACCTCAGAGCCAGCCAGGTAGAAGATGATCTCGTAGTTCTTCAGCATGTCCACCAGGCGGCCTGGGGTGGGGGAAAGGGGAGGTGAGGGCATGTGGGTGCCCCCACCCCACCCTGAATCCTCAGGAAAAGGGCGGCACCCTAGGCTTGGCGGGGCTTCCGGTTAGGGCACTCACATGCCCCAGTCGTTACTCCCACTTTACAGACACAAAACCCCATGCAGGCTCTGACATTTCAGACTTAAAAAATGTCCCTTCACTTCCCTGGACCTTAGTTTCTGAAGTGACATGGGGCCTTTGGCGACGCAGCACCTTAGCAGCTTCCGGGCCCCTCTGCCCTCAGAGTCGCCCCCACCGGTGCCCCGAGTGCTGTCCAGCTGGGGACATGAGGGTGGCACTGGGCTCACCCCCTCTCTTGGGGGCTCCAACCCTTGCTCTTTCCGCCTCACCTTTAGGGGCCTGTCTCTGCTCGCCCCCTGCCCCTCACCCCCCCACCCCTCCAGGCCTCCTCCTGCCCCTCCCGCAGGCCCGGACCCCACGGAGCCCATTTGCAGGGCGGGACGAGGTGTGCGGGTCGTCACTCCTACTTCCCCCTCTGTCTTTTCCAACTTCCCTATCCCACGCACTTCTCGCTGTGACTCTCGGGAAAACCTTTTACAGCAACTGCAAATCCTCTCCCCTAAAGTGAGGCTCCTTCAGGGGCCCCCTCTCAGGGGCATTCTTGGGGCTGTGCAGACCGAGCTGGGCCCCTCGGTCTGTGCCTCTGAGGCCGTGGGGCCGTGCCCCAGCGGCCCCTGAGCCGGCCGTGGCCCTGAGCCCTCTGAGCATCGCGCCGCCAGGCTTGTGTCCCTGGTCCCCGCCCCACCCACACGCGGCCCACGGGCCGTCTCTGCCTATTCGATCCACCCCAGAGGTACAGGAGGAAATGAAAGACGGGTTCCTGAGCTTCTGGGGGTGGGGGAACTGGCTTGTGGCCTTTGGGGGTGGGCCTGGGGGCCTCCCACACCAGGTTCAGGGGCTTTGCGGTTCCTGCTGGGTCAGGTGAGATGACCAAGCCTGAGGGGGGCGCTCAGCCAGCCCACCTGGAACGGCGGGCCGCTCACCGCATCTCAGGTGCAGGCGGGCTCCGGCAAAGGAGCCGCGTGCCGCAGCTGGCCGCCGCTCCCTCCCGCTCACGGGCAGGCCTCCCGCTGTTTCAGGGGTCACTGACAACCCAGGGAGACCCTAGTGTCCCCCACCCCACCTTTCTTGTGTAGGAACACTGTGCCCCCAAACACCTGCAGGAAGCCCTCCCGGACCCCACCCCTTGGCCAGATGATTTCCTAAGGTGACGAGTGCAGAGTGCGCCCAGGGAAGAACCTAGCGCCCCTCCTTCCCCCCTGAGCACACCGAGTGCCTACATGCTGCTCCTGCCCCAGGGCTGCTCCCCCCAGGACACTGCGCCTGTTCCCTCGCTGTGAGGAGCGGGGAGACTGAAGCACTCAGATGAGGGGTGGGCATTGAGCACTGGGCAGGGCTCCCCTCTCATTCTGGGACTACAACTTGTGTTAGGCCTCCGTGCCTCAGTTTCCCCATCTGCAAAAGGAGAGTAAACGTTTGTACTGGGTGCCAGCTGCTAGAGACGACCCAGCGAGCCTGCAGCTGTCAATGCTGGGTTCTTCCTGGCACCTGTCCTGTCTTTCCCGACCCCTCCCGGAGCTGGTGGAACTGGTTTGGAGCAGGGGCTAACAAGCCATGGGAAGGGGAGTCCATCCCACCAGGCTGTCTCTTCCGCGGGGTCACCTCTGTAAGTCCCATTTCACAGGAAGGGGGCTTCCCTCGGGCTTGGGGACACTACGCCGCGCCAACCCCTCCTCCTGTGGGGCGCGCACCGGCAGAAGGCGGCCCGATGAGCACGGCCACGGCCTCGATGAGCAGCACCAAGCCCAGCGCGCTGGGGAAGCGGTGGGCGCCCACCGCGGCCATGAGCACCTCGAACTGCAGCGCGCCCACCATGCCGTAGGAGAGGCCGAATGCGACGCAGAAGGCGACGAGGGCGCCGTAGGAGCGCGCGCGCGCGCTGCTCAGGTCCGTGATCCCGTTGGCCAGCAGGGCGAGGCTGAACAGGTAGGCGACGTGCGGTCGCAGGCGCGCCAGGCCGGCGAGAGCGCCGCACGCTGGCCGCGCCACAATGTCTACGAAGCCCACGATGGAGAGCAGGAAAGCGGCGTCCGCGTCAGGCACGCCCGCGTCCTTGGCGTAGTTCACCAACAGGATGGCGGGCACAAAGAGCCCCAGCGCCATCAGGAACTTGGTGACGGCGTACACCGCGAAGGCGCGGTCGGCGCACACGGTCACGTCCAGCAGGCGTCGGCGAGTCTTGCCGCCAGGGGGCGCCTCGCTCAGTCTCAGCCCCTTGCGGTCCGCGTCCGCGTCCGCGTCCGCGTCCTCCCGAGCTTCGCCCGCGCTGCGGGCGCGGGGCGGGGGGCCGGGCCCCGGCGGCGGCCGCATGACGGCGCCGCAAGCGCAGCAGTGCAGCAGGAGGCCGCCCAGCAGCAGGAAGCCGCCGCGCCAGCCGAAGCGCTCGAGCAGCTGCTGGCCGAGCGGCGAGAGCGCCGACAGGAACACCGGGCTGCCCGCCGCCGCCAGCCCGTTGGCCAGAGGCCGCCGCCGATCGAAGTAGAGCCCCAGCATGATGAGCGACGGCTGGAAGTTGAGGGCCAGGCCCAGGCCTGCGGGCGAGGCGGCGCCGTGCCAGGCTCCCCAGGGGGCCCCCACTCCATAGCAAGAGGGAGCGGACAGAGTCCCCGGGGGACTGAGCAGGGGGACTTGGAGGACAGCTCCGCGTGGGGAAACTGAGGACTGGAGTTCCGGCAGCAAGGACTCCCGACCCCCACCCAGAGCCCCGCAGGGGAGGAAGGCAGCGCGCCCTCACCTGTCAGCGCGCCAGCTGTCAGGTAGAGCTCCAGCAGGCGCGTGGCGAAGGATGCCAGGACCATGCCCGCTGAGGCCAGCAGCCCACCCAGCAGCATCACCGGGCGACAGCCGAAGCGGGTCACCAGGATGCTGGACACTGGGCCTGTGGGCAGGGCAGAGTCACCACTTGGGCTGCCCCACTGCCCTGTTGGGTGGACGCTCCAGGCTTTGCACCTCCCAGCCCTGGAAGCCGGCTCAAAGGGATACGGTCACTCCTGGTTCAGGGACCCGGAGGGCAGTGTCTGGCTAAGGTCACACAGCTTGGCTGGGACAAACCAAGGAGGCAGTGCCCTGTGGGGGACTCAGGGGAAGGGCCCCGCCCTGGCCCAGAGCCCCTCTCCCCACCCCTTGTGAGAACACGGCACCCAAAGCCGAAGGCACAGACCCCACTTCCCTTTTATCTTCGCAGCCTGGGACCCCGGCATGGGCTGCCTTGCTCCCCGGCCTCCCCCACGCCTCATCCCCACCTGCAGCTGCCCGGCCAGGCTGACTCTAGCGCTGCCCCTGTCCCCACAGGTGAATTTCATTAAGATCTCAGTTTCCCCACCTGTAACACAGGCAGGTGTGGGGGTTTGGCAGGAATGCTGGGACCCTGACGCTAGCCAAGCTTGCAAGGGCAGCCACCTGCGTGCGGCTCCAGCTCCGGCCGCTGTCCCTCCCCTCTGTGGTGCCAGAACTCCCACAGGGAGAGAGGGGGTTCTGTGCCCGTCCCATGGCGCCCCGGGGATGCCCTGGGGATCGGGCACCTCCTGGCCCCTAACCACACCCACCGCAGCCCTGGGGTTCACGGGGGCGGGGGACGCTGACCGGTGCCGTAGAGCATGGCCAGCATGATGGAAGACACCCAAGCCGTGTCGCTGTAGCCGGCTCCGAAGTCGCGCATGAGCGCGCGGAAGAAGACGCTCACGGCCTTGGGGAAGCCGTAGGCGAAACCGGTGACCACGAAGCAGGCGCCCAGCACCACCCAGCCCCAGCCGCCATCCGGGGGGCCCGCGCCCCGCCGGGGGCCGCCAGCACCCATCGCCGCTGTCTCTGCTGGAGGAAGAGGAGGCAAGAAGGGAGGGGGCGGGGGTCTGGAACCCAGACAAGGAAGGGGGTGGAGAGCCAGCGTGGGGAAACTGAGGCAAGGGCCTACCACCTCCCCCCACCCCCGGGAGTCCTGCTCAGGGGATGAAGCCAGGTTGGGAAACAGGGTACCAACCTCACCCCAAGCCCCCACTGCTCCGAGGAAGGATGGGGGGCGGTAACAGGGTCGTTCCCACCTGAGTCTGGACTTCAGGAAGGCCTCCTCCGGGGGGCCCTCCTTGCTCTCTCCAGGTCCTAGTGGGGGCAGGGGAGGGGTGCTGGCAGCTGGAGGGCCTGGCCGCCAGCGTGCGCCCCGAGGTGTGGGTGGGGGCCCCCAGTGCCCCCGTTGAGGGTCTCTGGACCAAGAAGCAGAGGCGGGGAGGGAGGAGACAGGCACGCCCCACTGGACGGGTGGGGCTTTTTTCCGCCCGGCCCAGTGGCATGCCCCTAATTCCTCCCACCGATCGGAAGTGACCCGCGTCGTTAGAAAATCGTGGGGGAAAATAGGAACGTGTTTATAACAGCATTGGCCTTGACTCAGAAGCCAAGGGAGCCGAGGGCTCCGATTCACCCCAGCTCAGCTGGGGGTCTGCTCTGTGGCCCGCACGGGCCTCCTGCCCTCCGGAGCCCGTTTCCCCACCCGTAAGACGCGAGACTGACCAGGCCCGCAGGGAGTCTTGGGGTGGGGGTGGGGCTCAGGCCCCCACTGGACAGGAGGGGACCTTCCAGGGGGCCCCAGGAGAGCGCCCTCTGGACTGCTGAGGGGCTCCCCAACCCCTGCCCGCGCGGAAGGCAGCTCTGGGGCTTCACGCTGCTGGAGCCCAGCCCAGGGGTCCATGCTGCAGTCCCCGGAGCCCCCAGAATGGACGAGGAGGGTGGGCCAGCCCACAGCTGGGCAGGAGCCCCCCTCCCTCCGTCCCGAAGCCCGCTCTGGCCCGGGGTCTTGGCCTTGGGCAGTGCCAAGGACCTGTGGGGGGCTGGGACTGCCCCCTTCCCACAGGACCAGCTCCGGCGTTTCCTGCTGGTGTCCCCGCATCGTGGGACAAGCGGGTGGTCCCTGGTGGCCCCCGCCCCCCACTCACCAGAGCTGTCCTGTGGTGTGGGTGTCCAGCCTCGCATCTGAGGCCTGCGGGGAGGGGCTGCCCCACCGCTGCCCTGCCCTCCACAAAGCCTCGCCTGGTGGGGGTCCCCGGCGGAGACTCCCGGGCTTGCTGGTGGATCCGCCGCTGGCCTGGTTTTCACCCCGACTTGCTTCCCCAGCCTGGGGCTTAGAGCGGGCCCCCGCCCCCAGCCCCTGTAAGAGGCTTTTGCCCGGGAGGGGAGAAGGGACGGCGCAGACACCAACCGTGGGGCTTGGGCTGCCCACGCAGAGCCAGACCGGTATGGAGACCCTCCAACTCTGGAGCCTCCGGAGGACACACAGGGTCCTTCCCCGGGGGTCCCCGTGGTGCGGGGGGGAGGGGGGCAGAGCCCTGCCCTGGAGAGACCCCACTGTCCTTGGTCACCTCAGGTCCTCGCCTGCCGCCCACCCCGGGCCACGTTCCCGGAAGGGCCTCTGGGGCTTTCCCTGGGATAAGGCTAATCCCGGGGTGGGGAGGGGGCTGGGGTGAGGGGCAGGAGGGCTAGAACAAAGGGTGCTGTGTCCAGGCCACGGGAGGTGACTTCCTGAGGGTCCCCGGCCTGGGCCACTGCCACCCTCCTCCTCTGGAGAGGGAACCCTTCCCCGGTGCCAGCATGGGGTGTAGAGGTGGAGGCTTTAGGCTGGACCTAAAGACTCACTTGAATGAGGGTTGTGGGGGGCTACAGCGAGGCCCCCCAGGCACGGGCCAGGGCCCTGCAGGAGCCCCCTGACCCCGTTCTCCAGCGGGAGGGCCCCATCCCCACCCCACCCAGTCCCCCAAATCAGAGACCACCAGTTCTGCTGCCATGGGCACGTGCTTTATTTCTCATTGTTTACAAAAGTCCGATGGGACGGGCGTCAGGAGGGGGAGGGCCTCCTCCCACTGCGGTGGGGGAGGGGAGAGAGGTGGGGGCACGAGGCAGGCCCGCGGGAGAGTCCTGCGGCCCCGGAGGGGGAGGGGAAGGGACGGCTCCGTCCCCCATTCCCCCGCTTTATTTGGAAGGCCCCAGGCCCCGCGCGCGCGTGAGCCCCGGGGCTGCTCAGGCTGGGGTCACGGACAGGGGGAGGGCGCTGCCCCCAGCGCCAGGGCCCCAGCTTCTCGATCCGCTGCTGCTGCTGCTGCTGCTGCCGCCAACGCCGCGCCAGCTCCGGGCACCCCCTGGGCAGGGGGCGGGGCGACCTCACACCCAGCGGCGGGGGAAGGCACCTCAGCGGATGAGGGGCGCCGAGCGGTCATTGGTGACAGTGGGCCGCAGCTTGACGGTGGCGAAGGGGTTTGTGCCCCTGTGGAGGGAGGGGGGCTCAGGCAGAGGGCCAGGGTCTCCAGCGGCCCGTGGGTCCGGGGAAGGCAGCTGCACCCCCGCGCCGGGTGTCTGCCCCGCCTCCTGCCCGCATCACCTCACCTCCACTCACCTCCGCTTCCCCCTTACCTCCCTCCACTAAGCCCGCCCCGGGCCCCTTCTCCTCCCCCCGTGCCCCGCCGGCCCCCTCCCCACCGGGTCTGCTCCGGGACTCACCGCGGAAAGAGCTCTGGCGGGTGCTGCTCCCAGGACATGAGTTTCTGCGGTGGGGAGGGGGGAGGGCGGAGTTGGGGGGGGGCGAGCAAGCTCCTCCGCTCCTGCCCCCTCTCCTAGGGGGGCAGAGGACTGGCCCGGAGGTCCCCGCGGTGCCAGGCCCCCGGGAAGTGCGGCCCTGGAGTCCTGAAGCCCAGACTTCCATGGGTTTCAGGCTCGAGGAGCTTCTGGGCCAGAATGCCACCTCCAGGGCCAGCCAGGGCCCCCAGGGCAAGGCTGGGGGGACCCCCTGGGGAGGCGCTCGCTGTGCCCCCCACCCCCCGCCCAGCCCCCACACTACCCCGGCCCAGGCCGGGCCCCAGGCCCCTGGTCAGGCGTCCCCTCAGGAGGCAGGGAGGACAGCCCCCCCCCCCCCACAGGGCTCCCAGCAGGACCCCGGGGCTCTAGTTCCTGAGGTGAACACGTCTCCACCTGCCACCCGAGTCGGAGGCCCGCCCCACCCCGCCCTGCACAGCTGGGCAGACCGCGGTGGGCGGCGGGGCCCCCTGCCCGCACGGTGGCAAGGCGGGGAGGGTTACCTGGTCTGCGGTCTCCCTGCCCACGGGCCGACCCCGGGACTGAGGCAGCCGGGGGGAGAGGGCTCACCTTGACGTCGCCGGCCACCCCCATGCTGCCCATGCTACTGCGGCGGCTGCCCGGCAGGGGTGTGGGTGCGGGGCTGGGGGCGCGGCTCGGGGTCCGGGAGCGGGGCCGGCCGTCCCAGCACTCTGAGGGCGCCGGGGGGCTGCCTGGCCGGTCCAGGAGGTCATCCAGACTGTGGCTGCCCCGGAGCGGGTAGGACCTGAGTCCGGAGAACGGAGGGGGTGAGGGTCAGCCGGTCCGCAGCGGGGTGACAGGGGGCGCCCTTTCTCCGGCGGCCAACGGAGGCGGGGCCCACCCAGGACTGCCACTCACAGGTGCCCCCCACGTTGGGGGCTACCCCCACTGGAGTCCCCGCCCCTGCCCCAACTCTACCACCCAGGTACCTGGAGGGCAGCTCATTCATGGGGCTCATGGGGTTCATGGAGGTCACAGGGTTCAAGGCGTTCATGGGGTTCATGGGGTTCATGGAGGTCACAGGGTTCAAGGCGTTCATGGGGTTCATGGAGGTCACCGGGTTGAAGGCGTTCATGGGGTTCATGGAGGTCACCGGGTTCAAGGCGTTCATGGGGTTCATGGAGGTCACCGGGTTCAAGGCATTCATGGGGTTCAAGGCGTTCATGGGGTTCAAGGCATTCATGGGGTTCACGGGCACCTCCTCCAGGGGCTTCACATAGGCCTCGGGGAACCAGCCGCTCCTGTGGGGCGGAAGCAGAGGGTCCCTCAGCGAGGAGCCCACCAGCAGTGGCCCCGCACCACGTGTAAGGGGGTGCGGCCCCCCGGGCACTGATGGTGGGGCTTCACGGAGAGGGACTCGCTTAATCCCGTGAAAGAGGTCTTTCTCAGCGTTCAAGGCCACCAGTCCAGCCTCATGTCCCACCAGGGGCTGGGGCCCCTTAGGAAGAGGCACTAGAGGCCCGAGGAGGAAAGCGATGTGTCCCGGATCTGGGGCCACCACTTCAGCCCCTGCTCACTCGGCACCCGCCTCGCGGGGGTCCCGAAAGCCTGGCGGGAAGCGGACCCACAGACAGTGGCCCACAAGGGTGCCGGTGAAGGGCGGGGTCCACAGGCAACCGCGAGAGGCCGGGGTGGGGGGGCGCCCCAGCCCGGGGCCTGACTCCCAAGCCTGTGCGCTTCCCCTCTCAACCCAGCTGCTGCCCCCAGTCCTGGGGCCCCGGCACCCCGCTTCTGGGGCCTGTGCCTGGCTGGAAGCTCATCGCCGCAGCTGCAAGCGGCCGGGGCTGAGAGAGGCACTAGGACCGTGTCCCCGCGCCTTTTCAGGCTCCAAAGAACCTGCCAGATTCGGGCAGAACCACCGGGCAAACGTCCTCCGAAAAGCTGCCTTGGACTCCAGGGCCCAGGCGCAGCGCCCTCCCGTGGAGGCGACCGGAGCTACTCCGACCCCAGCCGGCGGAAGGAGACTGCCGCAGCACTGCCCACTCCGGTTTCCCGGAGACCGGCCGCCCCTGCTAGGACTGGCCACTCAAGTTCCTCTGACCCATGAGTCCCAGGAGAGGTGGGGCAGTCCCAGGAGTGTGGCCGGAGAGCCCGGGGCTAGGTCACTTATCCGGGCCCGGGAAGTCTGGAAGACTCCCGTCGGGGGTGGCGCCCTGCTGCCCTCGGCGGGTTCCCGCCATTCCTGCCATTCCTGCGCTGGGCCATCTGTCCCCCGCCAGCCCACCCTCCCATTCCTGGTCCGTGCAGTCTGTGCCATCCACCCGGCTATCTGCACACCTCTGTGCCTTACTGTACCATCCTGTCCACGCCACCACGCCTCTGTCCCCTCAGCCATCCGTGGTCCACGGGGGCAACCACCCATGGGCCGCTACTCCACTCTGTACCCACTAAACTATCCATCACCACCTGCCCGCTGCCTGCCCCCACCGCCGAGCCACTCCAGTCACCCATCAGCCTACGCACGCACCCCACGTCTGTACCTCCTCCTATGCCCCCAACTACCCATTATAGCCCCCACCTAGCCACCCACCTGCCCATCCGCTCACACAAGCGTGCACGCCCTCCCCACAAGACCACCTTCTCCTCTGTCCCCCTGTCCCCACTCCCAACCCACATGACTCCCTCCCACGCACGCAGGGACTCCGCCCTCTGCATCATCCGTTCCCACCCCCGCCCCTGTCCTTCATTCCTTCTCCATGAGCGGGAGTGGGAGAGGACACCACCGATGTCCACAAAGCCCTGCGGCGGGGATGGGGGGCACTGCCTGGCTGCAGCAGGCTCCCACCTCCCCCTCTCCCCCCAGCAGAAAGAGTGATCCCTGCCCCTCCCTTTCTGGCCGCCAACCCCGCTCTCCTCCCCCAGGCTTGTTGGCGACCACGACGCACTCTCCATGCCCGTCCACTCACGGCGTCAGACACAGACCAGGGTTTAGGGTCTTTAAGGATGTCCACGGCACAGGACTATGAGGAGAGCCTGCACGGTCCCAGCGCTGCCGGCTGCCTCCGTGCCGGCCTGGGGCGGCCCACCCATCCCTCCATCAGCGCTTGGGTCCGGCTGACTCCCCGGGGGCGGGGCGCTGCGCCGTCCCTCCCGGTGTCGGGTGCACAGCGGGTACGCAGGTAACAAGGTTTCCCAGTCCCCGTTCTGTGCCGCCCGCCCTGAGCGCCCTGAGCGCCCTGAGCGCCCTGAGCTCGGCGCGGGGGTGCGTCCTGCCCTCACTGAGTGGATGATGAGGGAGCTGAGGCGGCAGCAGGAGGGAGAAGGGGGAGATGGACGGGGCTCCGGGGAAGCAGAAGCAGCCTCAGTCGGAGCTGGAGCTCAGGCCTCCCGGGTCCCCTTCCCAGCCCACCCTGCAGGACCCGGCTCCCACTCACGTGGATGAGCCCTCCAGCTTGCCGTAGAGCCAGCCGTTCTGGGCCTCCGGCACTAGCACTTCCACGACGTCTCCGGCCGAGAAGCGCAGCAGCGTGTGGTTGGCGCC